TTCTGGGGTGTTTTTGATATTTGGTTAGGTATATTTATATATATATAAATGTCTCATAATTTGTGCAAAAGGCTGTATATAGTGACTATATACACCTAACCAAAAAAATTCTGCAACTTTTAATATATATATGTCTTTTGTTCTTGAGAGATTAAACAATAGGGAAACAATAGACATATATATATTGAAAGTTGCAGAATTTTTTTGGTTAGGTGTAGTGTCACTATATATATATAGGTAGGGGATATTTTCTAAAACCCATCTATAATGCATTGTGACACTGAATAAAATAAAAGTAGACCATTTTTTTGAGTAAAATTTTATTTTTAACTATTATAGGTTCAAAGTCACTGCTTGGGCTCCCTGTGATCAAACAGGCGAGTGCGCGCTGGCGACTTGAAAAGCCGACTTGAAAACAATGCGCGCTCGCGTCATTTTCAGCCAATCACGAATCGAGAAAWAAYKSWTTCYYSCAGAGTCTCTCACGCATTGACATCCGCTGGATGGCAAAAGTGTGGGCTCTGCGTACGAGATTGCTCTGCTGGGGGAATGCGTTATTTCTCGATTTGCGATTGGTTTTTCAAGTCAAGATGCCTGTATGCATCGAACTTTGCACTTTCTTGGCAGAAAGCCTCGTTAGATTTTTTGAGGAGTTTAAATTGAACGTGGTAACTGTTTCAAAATAACGCCTTTATTTTTGAAAATTAAATGTTCAAAATTCAGTGAATTTAACATTTTATCAATTCCTATGATTGAAAACAAACGATAGTGAGACCTGCCACTATGCGAATACCTTGTTTACCAAGGTGACAACTCAACAAATGAGGTGACAGCTTTATTTGCATTTAAAAAACTCATACATAATTAATGAGCTACTAGGCCAATAGAATGAGCCTATTTGGTCACATGCATGGACCTTTATATCTGATAAAACACTCCTTATTAGTATTCTTTATATAAAAGAATACTAATAAGGGCGACCTTTATCAGATATAAAGGTCCATGACCCTAGCAAAGGTCTCAGGTTTGAAACCTGATCATTGACCAATGCAGGATGTCAACCGATTTCAGTAAACAGCCAAGAGCGCTTCTATTTTACTCTATGCGTATTCAATGTGGGATGACAAGAGTGCTTTGTAAAGTGATTCGCGCATGATCAGTTTGCCCCATTTATCTCTGAACATATTTTTACGGCAATTTCTCCAAGAATTTTAACGGATTTTAGTTTCAAATTAGTGTTGGAGTTTTTTAAGCCGTTTAAAACACTCGAGATCGTGTTTTAAACTATACGTTAAAAGCTCATTAGCATATAAAAAACGCTTATGTGAAATCGTTCTAGAGCAAACGCAGGAAAACCATGAAATAAGGCTGCATTCATAATGTATACCACAGGGGGGGGGGCAGGTGAAATTTGGGGGGGGATCGTAATTTTTATAGACATTTTTTGGGGGGATGACAAATTTTTACTGTATTCAAGAGGGGGGTTGCTAAAAATATTAATAAAGATCTTAATTACAAATGGAAAACAATGTATAAAATTGTAGAGGTTGCAATTAACGGATTAATTGCCATTTATTATATMGATGATTTCTAACACGCATGGAATAATGTTGAGAACTTTTTCACTGTATAAAGATTGCTATAATTGTTGATAGAAAGACCCAATCTGTGAGATTGCATTAATTTTGTTTTTACTATTGTGGAACTTAGGCAAAAATGATCATCTTAGTATTCACATTTTATGAAATAACGTAATAAGTGATGTTCTCATAGATAATTATATTTTTTTATGAATAAAATTGAAATTGAAAATTCAATTAACCATTCATTACGTTATTTCATAAAATGTGAATACCAAGATAGATAGATAGATAGATAGATAGATAGATAAACCTTTATTAACTTATACCGCTCAGGGTAGCCCCAACAGATGCAAAAAGCAATCTGTTATCAATGGGAGCCCTGAGCATATAAACTACAATATAATATGAGTGTAGTACAGTAACACTAGAAATATGATGATAGATAGATAGAAAATATAAATGGTAAATAGATATATGTAGGATGACAAGAGTGCTTTGTAAAGTGATTCGCGCATGATGAATGATCAGTATGGGCGATTTATCTCAAAACTTATTTTTATGGCAAGATTTCTCCAAGAATTTTAACGAATTTGAGTTTCAAATAAGTGTTTAAAACACTCGAGATCGTGTTTTATCAGGTATAAATTGACACTCTCTCGTGTTTTAAACTATACACTAAACTTGAATACCACGCATCTTGGTAAGAATATACAACACCTTATCTCTTTAGTTGGGTATAATATTTAGAGACGATTCAACCAAACCAAAGGTCATGGAAAGACAAACGACCAAAAGTCAGTCTGTAAGCCATCCAGTTTTTCGTCTTGATGCAATCTGAACTCAATTAKTATAAAATTACTCAGATCAATATAAGTGAAGCCAACTTTATTATAAAATTTCATGTTTGGCCAATTTAGCATAAGTTCTAACAAGCAAGGTTAAATAATATATTGACTATATATATGGCACTAATCATAAAGTTTCAATATGCTACAAATAAGTGTAAATCGTTTCTTATACTTGCAAACTTTTGGCTGATTTTTATATATTTGGCCACCATTTTCACTTTCTATAACATTGACATGATGATTAATCTAAACGTTGAAACGTTGTATTTTCATCACATSATTAATCTAAATCTATTACCCCACCCCCACCCCCTTCACAGAAGGAATATAGAGATATTTTCTGGATGTGATCTACATTAAATCTAAAGAATAATATAATTAACATTTCAGAACTTTTTCATCATCTTTACATCATCAAAATATATGTGAATATTTTTTTTAAAGTTGCCAGAACCATCTTGCAAGTTAAGCTGTACCTTTGCATTGAGCTGAGAAATAATAAGCTTGCTATTTCACACCTACAAACAATTAATCACATATCTATTGTTGCAAACTCATTAGTTTCACCTTCGTGCAAAGGCATGGTTTTCTTTCAAGATGGCACATAATGGCAATTATAAAATATAGGATACATTAGATTGACAGCAAGGACATTCTAAAACAACTGTATTAGAAACTTATCAAATCTAAAATTCTTTGAACGTGGTTAAAAAAGTCATCCAACAAATGGACGACCAAGCATTCGACCGAGAGAACGCAGTCTGGCATAAGCTAAATCCCAATCAAGATAGGTGCCCTGCAAATGACGATTGCCTGACTTGGTAGGTGTGTATGCCGTCCGACCATGAAGTACTCTACTGTTGTTGAATGTTATCATTTGTCCAGCTTCAAGCTTATAATCAATTTTGTTTTGTGGATCTCTCATCATACTTCCCAGCTTTATGTATCCTCTGTAGATCTGTTGCACTGTTTCTGGGGTGCCTTCCAAGTGGTAGTCTCTTACATGGTTATTGTACGTAAAACGTGTTATTTTCTTGTTGTGATCAAGTCTGGAATAGACATCAAAAAAAGTTAGCTCTATTTAGCTTATTTATTTAGTACTTTAAAATGATGATAACGTTTTTAAAAATAAAAACTTTCTAATAAATATATAGCAAAAACATGTTTTGGCAATGTTTTGGCGATGTGTGACTTATTCCTGCTCATTTTAAGTCAAAAAAATATAGTACTATTTTCTTTTACTATACTAGAACACATGTACCGACTTGAAAATGGAGTAAGTCAATGCCRAAATGTTGCTAAACATTTAAAAAACCATTAAAATGAGTCGATAAAAACCTTTTCATGACAAGCTTATTTAGGTAGCATATAATTTCAACGCTATTTTCAAGAATCAGCAAAGCATTTTTTTGCATTCAAAGGAAAAATCGCTTTCAGGGCTTGAAATAAAGTACCGGCACATTTTATAGAATTTTTGTYCATTAATATTACAGCCCTTTAATACATGCAGTCAAGACTGACATTTAAGTCCATGTCATGCCTGTCATTTCTTGCCAAAAGGTATCATGTACTGCTATAAGCATTTTTGTATAGGAAAAGCTGACTTGACTTTATATCACATGCATTTTTATAYGACTCAAATAAGAAATGATTTCAAATATGCAAAATCACAAAAGTTAATGCAAACAATGAAAAAAGTAGACACATTTGTAGTAGATATCACTTCATTTTGCATTGTTAATTATAAAAGTAACAGTAACAACACTGTAAAGTCAAAGAAAGTATTGTGTCAAGGAAAYGATGTGATTTCGTCTGGACTTACTCAAATACTGGCCGAGAGCACTTGAGATGAAAGTCACCAAATTCATCTTTACCAATGTCCCAGTATGGAATTGAGGTAACAGAGAGTAACTCAAACAATTCAGGTTCTTTATTCTTGAATTCTTGAGAAATGTTAAAACCATCGACAAACATATTGGCTCCTCCCTTCGTTGGTGCTTGCTCTAAGCAGTGAAGAAATTGAATCTAAAAGATATTAAAATATTTTAGCAATACAAGTTGTTTCAGTATGTGAACTTGCAAACACTTGCAGAGATAATCACATGCTAAGATTGACGTGAAGAAATAACCCAAGCTCTAGAATATTCTATGCCCTAATATTCTCTGGAATATAATATGAATATTCTATGAATATTCCAGAATATTCTAATATTCATTGGATTGTTTGCTGTCTTTTGTTTGCAATTTGATTATTTGTTGATTTTTGTTTTTTTGTTGCTGTTGTTTTTTGTTTGTTTGCTTGTTTTGTTTTGTTTTTGTTTTTGTTTTTTCTCATTGCCTTTTTTACTCATTACAATTAAATAATGTCTTTCAGCTTCAAAAGTTTTTCAAACAAGTAAAACTTCCTTGTATGAAACGAAAAATAAATGAGAAATATGATATCAAGAATATGCTATTTGGTTCTGAATTTTGAGGAGCATAACCTGTTTATAAGTTCCTGGAGATATAGAATGGCCTAAGCCTCGGTCAACTATTTTAGTTTCCAACTTACCATATTTTCTACTTACCCCTGGATAGTRCTGTGATTGTGGTATRTCACAATGAAGAGGGAGGGCAGCTGTAGTGTAGGCAAGATTATTTGCACCAAATTTGGCATGGACATCAAAAATGTTGCTGGTAAAAAAGAAGCATTAATAAATAAATATTAAAATCTAAGCCWATTTTCCCCGGGTTGAGGCTAACCCTGTAAATATCCCAAAAAGCTTTAACCTTAGGCCTTCTGGSGGTATGCAGGGTTAGTCTCAATTTAGAAAAAAAAAATGCAAATTTTCAAGGCTATTTTAAAAACATTTTTGCATGCTTTCTTTTTGTGTTTGGTAAGTTCTTTGCGCAAGAGAATCTGTTATTTTCTTTGAATTCGAAAATGGAGCATTGCACACAGATAATATGGAGAGCTGAACAGAAAGAAAGAAATGTAATACTAGCTGGATTTTCATTAACATACTTTTTAACATATTGTGTACGACATCAGTACATTAATCATTAACATATTGTACAATTTATATGAAAATCAGCAACCAATGTCGATTTCCTGCACGAACCAAAGTGCTGAAAATCTCCCTAAAGCTTTTAGAAATTTACAAAAAAATTGTAAGAGCACTCCTGAAGTCGAAAAACAAACTCTTGCATCTCCCATCCCCTCCCCCACCAAACCCCCAAACGCCCCTAAAGTCAAGAAGCAAAAGAGCAGTACATTACCCATAATGTGTGGATTTAATATAGCCAGTCCGTTTAGCAAGAAGTTCGACGCTTGTTGGCTCCACATTTGCAGGGACACCTTCTATTAATGCAATCCCTACGCTGTATAGCTTCTCCAGCCACTCAAACAAGCTCGAATCGTCTTTCATAACGTCATTGAAATCGAACCTTGCTATGTTGTCTTGCATGTCACTTCCACTCCAAAACTTTACTCCATGTCTGGCAAGCGTCGAGCTTGTAAGATTCCTATCTCTTTCTTGCTTCTCTAGGAGTCTTTTCCCATGAAGCCACTCAGATTCAAACTCACTAACATGGTTATCTGGCCATTTGAGTTGCAACTTTCCGCCATCACACGAGACCTCAATACTCGTTGCACGAATATCTAAAGGGATGTCTTTCACAGTATCTGACAGCCTTTCTAAGGAGTCTTGATTGATACATTTGCTGCATGTACACAAATCTCTCAGATAGATGTAAGGAAAGCGACTAACAGAGTTGTCTTTCCAATGAACAACAACATTTCCCTCGCCATGTTGCTCCACAGTTTTGGCAATGAGCCCATTCGGGTTAATGGTGTCCAATCYAGTTTCTGCAACTTGAATTGGCRCTGAACTACAGGTTCTAGCGTAAAATATAAACTTTGAAGCTCTTGTTAGACCTCTGAGTCTTTGTGAAAGCATTTTGTGTGAAAGTACTTTAGTTCGTKTCTTTTAGTATCTGATCGCCTCACAGCCGTAACAATGTCTTTTGTAGCAAGTACGTCATCATTAAGACCCTTGTCACGCTACACAATGATTTCGACGTCATAAGAGACAAACAAACTCTCAACACAAGACAACGAAAGAACACAATAAACCGTCTCATACTGAAAAGCTAYAACAAGGAACGAGTTATATGTTTGCCACTGGTAACAAATCTTATCGCTAACCTGTATCTGTCAGCAATTCACCACAATTTAGGGACCGTTCATTATTTATGGGAGGGGGAACAATGATAAAATAGGGGGGGTGTCGTGAAACATTTTTTAAGCTATTAAGGGGGATTTAAAAATATATAATCAAGTAATACTATAAAGTACATTTCAAGAATTTTACAGTTTTATAAATGTACTTATCTTAGAAACAAGAATCCAGATTAAGAGAAAATAAATCTATCAGTCAATCAGAAACAAGCACCTTAAATTACATCTGAATTAGAATTGATACATCTTTTAATCTATTTCTAGCAAGAATTGATATTTTAGTCCTGATACATACAAGTTGATGTTCAAATAAAGAAAATGTTAAGTCAAAAATAGCAGAAACGTCAGTTATTTCATAAATAACTTAATGAAGCTAACTGTAGTTGACACTTTAAACATGAACTGATTTCCAGGTAATATTAATTGCGTAATTCATATACTTTTATTACAAACTTACCAATCATTACCTTGTATTCACAAAAATAATAATAAAATAATTATATAGTGAATGAACGATTGGCACATCTCATATCAGGTCATCTAATAAAAATGTCACACATTCTWCCAATGTCACATAATAGGTCTTGTATCATGTACTGACAGTGTTAATGTCACGCAATACTGTACTTGTGGCAGGGTCCATTTGCTTGGCAAAGGCTTTTACTTTGTTTTCATAATCAAGACTACTTTGACTAAAAAAAACAGTGAATTAGAAATTAAGGAATAAAGCATATATATATAAATAAGAATGTACAATATCATTACCACTAATAATCACTACAATCAACTATCATGCCTTGTTTGAGACTTATTACAGCCATTTTGTACAAACTAGTGGATATTACTTGAGTGGGACAGTGCAAGGAACAATAATAGTTACCCCATTAGCTGAGTCAACAAATGGCAAGAATGTGTTAAATCAGTGTTTTTTRGAAAATCCCTGAACAATAATTTTGTAGCTTTTAGTAGGATTATTGTCAACAGTATGTATCTCATAGATCTCTGAAATAATGGCACTAATACTATCAGTATGTAACTGTATATATATTTTCAGTWATTATAGTTGTGTTAAAGTTCTGAAAGATGTGGTTATTTGTAACTTCAAAAAAGCTAACTTTTTAATTAAAGAATCATTCTCTAGTTTTTTTGCAATTTTTTCCAGTTTTATTTCCAGGGTTTGAATCCCATKCTCCAGTCTTAATCTCTAGTGTCTTAATTAATTCTATTATATCATAAGTCTCGAAATCTCAAAAATATTGAAAAATGTTTTGAAAAAAGTGACTCAGTATCATGAAAGGTTAAAGATTAAAAGCATTAAGTTTTAATTTTCATCTGATTAGAGGGAAACCAGTCTGTCAGAAAAAAGCTTCAAGGAGCAAAGGAGAATGCTGTCCTTCCACTTACAGCAAAATACATATCATAGGACTAGCCACAAACTTCAAAGAACGATACAGAAACCACAAATGTTCACTTAAAGTGTCAAAATGAAGAAATGAAACAGAACTGTCAAAGTACACCTGGAAATTAAAAGAAGAAAAGAAAGACTATAACATTAAATGGAAAATAATCAAAAAATGCCAACCTTACAACAATATAACCAAAAAATGTAATCTATGCCTAAGCGAGAAATTTATCATTATTTGTAAAAAGCACTTAATATGTTCCTTAAATAGATGAAATGAATTAGCCAGCCAATGTCAACACAGAAATAGATTCACACTAAGAAACCATGTAACTTAACTCTACCGGATGTAAACTCGATAGCGTTTTTAAACTACCAGCAAACCTTAACGGTCATTCATTCATATTGTAACTTGCCTGATGAGTGTGGCCATCTCTGATGACCATACGAAACCAGCTTGTAGCAATAAAACAATGAATCATTCTAGTCTTTAAGTACAATTTTATTTTTTATATAATGCTCCTTGATAAAGTTGAGCACTTTTTTGAAAACATTTTCGATAATTTTAAGTATCATGGTTTACAATACATGTGGTAATATTCTTTACCTGTGTATCATGAATGCTTCTGCTTGTGCTGGTTCAAGAAAGTTTGGATCCTGTAACAACAACTGGATTCCTTGAAGAACCTAAGAATGACAAGACGGCATGGGTCTCAGTTTATAGAGTTTGGGATGGAAGTAGACAAACAATGTGC